TCCCTTCCAACCCAAATCATTCTATGATTCTCCTGTTCTGCTCTCCTTATTTTCCAGATTGGGATGTCCTTCAGAGCTGATGTTTACTATGTGCTTTATCCTCGTGTGTGATCATGTCCTTAGAGATAAAAACGGAGCATGCAGCAATGAATGCATGCACCCAAATCTATTCCTACATTGCAATTGGTATGTGGCCACTGTATGGTCTTGGGAAAGGCCTGTGAGGTGCACTGTGTAATGTCCTTAGTGTGTCTGTGGCCACATGTGCATGTTGTAAGTTTCTGTGATATGGAAGTTTTGAAATTGAGGACTTTCTTCAAGTTCATATAAAGCATGTTTCAAAATTTAAATTTCTGTTAGTGAAAATAAACAGATGATTAAGTGATATTCTGTCATTTTTTAGTAATGTTTAAAGAAAAACCGTTTGGATTTATGTATGATACGCAAGATAAAAAAATGTGCAGACCTATATTATTTTTCTTTGTTTAAAGTTGCATTTTGGAGAAACAGGTTTGTTTTCTGGCTAGCATGTTTCTGTAAGCTTTTAGTTTATTCTGTGAAGTATGAAGAGATCAGGGAGATAACCTTCCCCCCACCCTGTAGCAAAGGGGTTGGAACTAGATGATCTTTGAGGTCTTTTCCAACCCAAACCATTCTATAATTCTAAATGAGCAAGGTTACTGTCTTTGCAGCCACATGTTTAATGAAGACACTGTATATAAATTGAGGCTGAAAAGCACTGTAAGCTTTAGGTGTTATTCTGTAACATTTAGAAACAATTTGAATGTTTTTCCTATGAATATTGAAGTATTAAACTAATAGAGTAAAAATACTAAAATACTAAAAATACTAAAAGGACTAAGTTATAAGAAAGGTTGTGAGATTTTATGAAAGTTAAAATGTACTGTGTTGAAACTTCTGGATATGAGCACTGGTCATTTGGGAAAAGATGGTTTAAAACCATGCACAGAGAATGTTATTCCAAGTATGTTTAAACTTGTTTAGAATTCATCTGAGATTAAAAGGAACTGAATAATTTGATAGGTTAAGATATAGCTTTTGATGCAGAAACAGTTCTGCCAAGATGATGCAAATCTTTCAGGTTTAAGATTCCTTCTCTATTGACAATTTTGTCTTTTCTTTCTGTCATTTCTTCCATGAAGTGTTTTTTAACAGATAATTTGAAAATACTGTTCACAGTGGAAAGGGTAAAAGTAGCTATTGTTTTTAATGAGGAAACAAAGCTTTGTAATTAGAATGTCTTGTTAAATATTATTGATTGGAAAGCAGGTGAAACTGAGGGTGAAAATGTTTGATTAGTAATTTTTGTTATCTGTGCTTCTACTCAAACTGGAAATCAAATTTAACAATGTGTCTAATGCTTTTTTGTTTGGTGAGGGAGTATTATTATATATTTAATGTTTTCTAGGTATTATCAGCCTGTGCAAACCTGGAAATTCTGGGATTCAGTCTCTTATTGGAGTACTCTGTATACCAAATATGGAAATACGGGTAGGTAGTAAGTATTTCGTAGTGATGTAGGAATAATATTGGATGTTTAAATTAGCATATTGTTAACGTTTTAGCAATCTAGAGGCTTAAACATAGACTCCAGTTATGACACCACTATCCTCGAGTTTATTTGACTCCCAAGTTCAAGTCTATAATTCTATTATAAAATTCCCGTGAGAATAGAAGTACACCCTGTATGTCTGAGAGGAGGGAAGGAGGGAATGGAGGAGAGAAAAGTATATAAATTAATCTTTACTCTGGACACACGTCAAAGCAGGTTCACAGTAACTGCGGTTACGAATTTAAAGCCTAATAATCAGAGTTGAATCTGAGATAAATAAAATGGTTTCTTCCCAATTACCTGTTAAACCAAGGAATTGATGGTGGCAGCAACTAACTGTACTAAAGATTTGTAATGCAAGCAGCTTGAGCTTCTGTAGAATTCCTGGTGATAATAAGGCACAGTTCTAAACTGAACAAGCCCCTTCCCTGCTTCTCTTCTGCAGATTATTTAAGTTTTTGAAAATAAGCATGTTACCAAAAAAAAAAGAAACACTGAAATAAATACACCAATTTTATCATTCTCTAGAAATCTCAACTTCAGTATTAATAGTGAACAAAAGGACAATTTTTGTAAATCTGTAAAATTCCTGTTGTGGTTTTCTTGATAGCGCGGTCTGCTTGAAGTTCTCTATGATATATTTCGCCTTCCTCTGCCTGTTATCGCAAAAGAATTTATTGAGGCACTTCTCAGTGTAGGTAAGTACTTAGAAGCAGTTCATGTAAGAGTTCTGTCTGAGGCTTTTCTACAAATTCAAACCCTTCACTGTCTCCTCCATATTATAAACTATGTCAGTATTAACTGTTTTATCACTGAATTCATTGGGTGAGTTAAGTCCTGTTTAAAATTCTTATCAACTGTTAAGTGTTGTAAGTTTGATAAAGGATCAGCATAATGGAGCATTTACACTGGTGGGTTGGCCCTGGCTGGACCCAAGTCCCCACCAAAGCTGCTTTATCACTCCTTCTCAGCTGGACAGTGGAGAGAAAATACAACGAAAGACTTGAGATAAGGACAGGGAGAGATCACTCACCAATTACCACCACAGGCAAAACAGATTCAACTTAGCAAAAATTAATCTAATGTATTATCAATCAAATCAGAGTAATGAGAAATAAAACCCAATCTTAAAACACCTTCTCTCATCTCTCCCTTCCTGGGCTCAACTTTACTTCCAGTTTTCTCTACCTCATCCCCACCCCCAGCACAGGGGGACAGGGAATGGGGGTGTGGTCAGTTCATCACACATTGTCTCTGCTGCTCCTTCCTCTTCATGGAGAGAACTCCTCATGCTCCTCCCCATCTCCAGCATGGGGTCCCTCCCAGGGGAGACAGTCCTTCCCAAACTTGTCCAGTGTGACTCCTTCCCACAGGCTGCAGTTCTTCACGAGCTGCTCCAACTTGGGTCCCTTCCACAGGGTGCAGACCTTCAGGACCAGACTGCTCCAGCGTGGGTCCCCCGCACGGTCACAAGTCCTACCAGCAAACCTGCTCCAGCCTGGGTTCCTCTTTCCATGGGGCCACAGGTCCTGTCAGGAGCATGCCCCACAATGGGCTTCCCACAGGGTCACAGCCTCCTTTGGGCATCCACCTGCTCCAGCTTTGGGTCCTCCACAGGCTGCAGGTGGATATCTGCTCCACCATCAACCTCCATGGGCTGCAGGTGGATGGTCTGCCTTACAATGGTCTTCTCCATGGGCTGCAGAGGAATCTCTGCTCTGGAGCACCTCCTCCCCTTCCTTCCACACTGACCTTGGTGTCTGCAAAGTTGTTCCTCTCATATTCTCACTCTTCTCTCTGGCTGCAAAAAACTGCTGCTTGGGGTTTTTTTAATTTTTTTTTCCCTGTCTTAAATATGTTATCCCAGAGGCACTACCATCGTTGCTGATGGGCTTGGCCTTGGCCAGCAGTGAATCCATCTTAGGGCCAGCTGGCGAGCTGGCGTTGGCCCTGTTGGGTATAGAGGAAGCTTCTAGCAGCTTCTTGCAGAAGCCACCCCTGTAGCCCCCCCTACCAAAACCTTGCCATGCATACCCCGTACATAAAAGGCCAGGTAAACACATTAGTACAAATTAGACGACTTTGAAGTGTTAGAAGCATTAGCACTGTAGAAGTATTAGTGAAAATTACATAAAGTTATTACACAATATATAGAAAAGACTGTTTATCTCAACTGCACTTTAGCAGACTTACTTTTCCTAGGGCAAGTGTATGCTGCTTCATAGACTCAGAGAATGGTTTGAGTTGGAAGGGACCTTAAAGCCCATCTAGTTCGAACCCCCCTGCCATGGGCAGGGACACCCTCCACTAGACCAGGTTGCCCAAAGCCCCATCCAACCTGGCCTTGAACTCTTCCAGGGAGGGGACATCCACAGCTTCTCTGGGCAACCTGTTCCAGTGCCTCACCACCCTCACAGGGAAGAATTTCTTCCTAATATCTAATCTATGTGTTTATATTTAGCAGAGTGAGTCTTTTGTCTTTAGAATTACTCCTTTGTAAACTCAATCCATTTATAATTGTCCCATTAAAACTGTCCATATTATCTTGTTCTAGATCCAGGCAGGTTTCAGGACTGCTGGAGACTTTCTGATGGCTTTGTAGCTGCTGAAGCTAAAACTATATTACCCCATCGAGCCAGGTCAAGGTGAGCATTTAGTGAACTTAGTCTAAAGCCTGGTTTTCGTTTTGTGGTGATGTTGAAAAAATATTTGTTTTTCTTGCAGGCACAGTAAGAAATTAACTTCCTAAACTGTTTCCATACTTTTTTTTTCTCCTTAGGCCTGATCTTATGGATAATTATTTGGCTTTAGTGCTTTCAGCTTTTATTACCAACGGACTTCTAGAGGTAACGAATGAGTTTTAAGTTTGAATGTATGCTTGTTACTTTTTTTTCCTATAAACATTAGAATAAGATGTTATACATGTTGTAATAATTTTTTAACTTCTTGAAGGGTCTGGTTGAAGTGATCACAAGTAGTGATGACCACGTATCTGTTAGAGCAACTATCCTTTTAGGAGAACTTTTGCACATGGTGAGTAAAACTTTTTACTGAGAATAAGTAGTATTAGTAGCTAGTTGTAAATAGATATTTCCTATTATAGCTTTGAATTTGTGTTACAAACTTGGAACATCTACTTTGCATCAGAATAGTGGGTTAATTTACATCTTTTGGCACTTGATATATTAAAACCAGCATGAATCAATAGGTAGACAGTTTGGAAAGTATTGAAAGTGCTGGGGGTTCTGCTTCAAGGATAATCCTCAGCTGTCAAACTCTCACCAGTACACTTCCTTGCCTCAGTAGCCAGTTGTATTTTTAAGCTGGAGTCCTACAAACTCACCCATCAGTTACTGTATTTGGGAGAAGGACCATTGCTGATTTTTTTTTTGTTTTTCTTAGAATGATGGTAGCCCTCTGGCAGTGTGCTTAGCTTTCTGCCTTACAGGCTAGGCAGATGAAACTTTTTTCATGTTCAGTTTGATATGTCTGGGGCACTTGATGTTATTCATTCGGGCAACTCCAACTTGGTGGAGTGCTTTCAGCACTGCTATGGGTAGCCCCTGCTACAGAGAAGCTGAAAGGACCTTGCTTTGTTCCACTTCCCTCTACATATCATATCTTTTTACAGTAGCTTCTCTTTCTTAACCTAAACTATTTTGGTATAGAGAGGATATTATTGTTTCCATATACACTCTAGTGCTGCCTTTCAGCCTCCCAAGGAGCCATTAGTCATATGTGAAGCGATACAGTTTACCTTTCCTGCAAAACAATTCTTTTTCATATCCTTTCTTGATGACAAAAATATCATATCCAGCAAAGCACTTTTTAATCAGTCTTCTTGTGGTTTTTATTACTCTTTTTTCTAAATAAAACTCTTTGTAAGAGATGGCAAGATTGTGAAATACAACATTATCTTATAAAAATTTGAATATGAGTTATCAGACATAGCCTGAATCTTCAGAGTGGACTCATTTCAGTGGTGCTTAATGCTCCAGAAAACAAGATCACAATCTTCAGGTACAGGATTGCTTATTACTACAGTGATTTACAACAGCTCAGCTCCTCAGCCTGGATCACAACCACAACAAAGCTGTTCTTTAGTCTCTTCAGTGATTTTTCTTTAAATGGGGGAATTTCTTGAGTATTCAGTCAGCCATGTAGTTGAAAAAGAGGAATCTGTAATGATACATGTTATTTTTCTGGTTCCCAGAATACTTTTGAATGAGAGTGACACTTACTGATATTTGAGTATTCTGCAAAGCATAAGTATTTTTTGGTTTTCTGAAGAGATGATTCATTAGTCAGAGATGACTGTTTATCAAAATACTGAACAAATATTTGTACTGTTATTTAGTTTTAAGAGATGAAGTAATTTATCTATCTTCCTTATTCTTTAGTTTCCAAAAATATTTGCAGAACTACCTGTGTTTCCCAAAATAAAAGCAATTAAATGTTTAGTAACTTCGGAAATTATGTTATTAATAATTTTGTGTGTGTGTGCAGAAAGATTTTAATAGAAATCAACAACTTAAATTTATTTCTGATTTTAGATTTTTTAGTACTTTTATACATATGACATAAGGATATCTGATGCTTTGCAAATTTTTCCATGTTACCACTTAAAAACCACCAACGAAAGCAATACAGATTAGTAGACTCTGAAATCTAAAATTGTCTTGAGTTACTTTCAATTATATTTCAGATTGATTAATTACATCAAATATTCAAAATGGTGTGTTTAATTATTGCTCTGACATTATGCAAAAGGTAGTTTTGTTGTCATGCATTTGTGAAAGTTCTGTGAAAAGTGTTAGATTCTTCAAATATTGATCCTAACAAGATGGCTGAAAATATTGTAATGAATTATTCTAACTGGTCTTTTGCTTTTAGGCAAACACCATTCTTCCTCATTCTCACAGCCATCACTTGCACTGCTTACCAACGCTAATGAATATGGCAGCATCTTTTGACATCATGAAAGAGAAAAGACTGTAAGAATTCTAAGTTACATTTAAAAGCAAAAATATTTATATCTCCTTTTCCTGCTACAGTTGGGTGAAAACCTACATTTCCAAGTTTCCTGGTGGCTGAAACCACTAGTGTCTTTATTTAAAAGCAAACAAATGCATGCATATAGAAATGCTCTGTCACACTTACTAGGGAAATAGTTTCCAGTGCATCATTCCAAAAGTGTTTACAGTAACAATTCAGAAATTTGGAAAGAAAGTTTTGATAATAGATTTCAGAACACTTTTGCATAGACTGCAAGGTTTTTACACAGAATTTTTCTTAAGTGAACTCTTAAGGCACTGTCTGACTGTTTGGCAGTCATGGTCCTGATCAAATGAGATGTGTTTAGGCATCTGACTCCAAGAAAAAAAAGTTTATAGAAGCTTTTTATTCCTCTTTGAACTAGAAATACTTTAATTTTGAGATTTTAAAAACCTATTTTTTTAATTTTGTTTTACTTATTTTTTAAAATTTCTCTGTAAATCCACTAATCTTGCAATTAAACCTTTGAAGTGCTTTGTCATAAAATACCGTGTCCTGGGTACTTCACACAATTTAAACCTCCTCATGAAAGAAGTCAGATAATTTGGTAGATTCATGTGTCTTTAAAATGTGTCTCTGTAACTCAGTCTTCTTATTTGCATTTCTTTGTAGACCATTTAAATTGAGTATGTTGGAGTTTTTTCTAATAGTAAGGGAAATGTTTTTAATTACTCTTCCCATTTCTGATCTGCCTTGTCAGATCGGTATTCTGATAAATATATCATAACTCTCTATTTTGGCTTTCATTGTGTTGTCAGTGATAAATTTACAGAATCTTTCTGAACTGTTACTGTGACGTGATAAATGCTGCTTGTAGAGTGCTTCCAAGAAACATGCTGCTCTTCTGCTTTTTAGTTTTGACGGTTTCTAATATGTCAATAGAAGATTTTGATATGTGAAAAGACAGTTCTCTTTCAAAACAGGCATATCTGAAACTCTGACACGATATTTCACTTGGTCAAAGCTGTGGGATGAGAGGAAGGATGAAGAGCAGAAGGGATATATTTGTGGATTACCTGCAGTTTTCTTGCTTTTTTGCATTTGTTGGAAGAAAGTAATTTTGTAGAAGTGGGGTTTTTTTTCGTTTTGGGGAGGGGGGATCTCAGTTTTGGTGAATGTTCTGTGTTATTTCATACTCTGAAAAACTGTAACAGATTAAATTTATGTAATTTAGATAAGTGACCAAATTTGAAGGTATTTGTCTGAAGATAATATTAAAAAAAAAAAATTTTCCCACCCTATGAGATTTTTTGTTTATGGGGAAGAAAGGTAGACTTACCTCCTCATTTTTAGACTTCCTTATTTTATTTGCTCAGCTGGTTGATTTTTTTTGTACTAACACTATTTTGTAATTAACTGTTTCTGCCCTTGTCAACTGTCATTTCTATTACTTCCTATCTTTTCCTGGAAAACTTCTTGTGTACTGTTGCTGTGCTGTTTAGATACAAAGAGCAGGAAACATACTACTGATACTCCTGCCCCCTTCTGGGGAGAAAAAAAAAAAAAGAGAATTTACAAGAAATACTTTGTTAGTCAAAGCCCCCTCAACTCTCAACTTTAGTGCAGAGCATTGATCTACTGTGATGTGTCACAATATTTTATCAACTTTATAGTATCTCTCATGAACTGTGATAGACACCACTAATTGCAGAGTAGAAGGAGAGGTATCAGTAAGGCTCCTTCTTCAGTACTAGAAATTTGGAGAGATAATTTTCTGTATAATTTTAGTACAAGACTAAGACCTATGGATGTATGAAAACTTGTATCAAGAAAATTCTGTTCTTTTTATTTCCTTTTGGAATTATTAGTTGGTTCTTTCTTGAGCTATTTTTAATTATTCAAATTATAGCACTGGTGCTCTTTAGTTGGGTAACAGTTGCCAAATTATGATTATAGTATTTTTTTTTCTATTAGACGAGCAAGTGCTGCACTCAACTGCTTAAAACGTTTTCACGAGATGAAAAAAAGAGGACCTAAACCTTACAGCCTCCATTTAGATCATATTATTCAGAAAGCGATCTCAACACACCAAAAAAGGGATCAGTACCGTGTGCAGAAAGACATCTTTATTTTAAAGGTATTACCATTATTCATTTTTCAAGACTGAATTTGACTTTGTATTTTGGAGACTTAGATCCTGCCCCCCAAGCTTCACTCTCTCATCCAGTTCAGAGCCATTTATGTGCTTTCTTTGTAGTATTTTTTTTCACTGAATTTGTCTTGTAGTTAACTTGTGGATACTGTATTGTACTTCTAGAAATTGAGGTGTGAAATTCCAATGATTTTTCATGCTTTTTAGGGCCAGTTGTGGTCTCTTACTATTAGATTCTTAAAGCAGTACTATAACCATGCAATTACTTTTAAATGCGAATAACTGTGGAGCGTAGCCCTTTTAATGACTGTTATTTGAACAGTAAGTATATCATGTGACAAGACTGAAAAAAATGATGCAAGGGAACTTACTGTAGTTTTTCTTGTCTGTATTCCAGGATACAGAAGAAGCACTTGTAATGAATCTTCGAGACAGCCAAGTTCTCAATCATAAAGAGAATCTTGACTGGAATTGGAATCTAATAGGGACCATACTGAAGGTGAGCTTAAAAAGGGCATGATATTATTACTTTTATGAAATTTTTTAGGAAAAAAAAAAAGTATGTTTCACATGTGAGCTTTGGCTTTCTAATAGCAATTCTATAGTAAATCACATAATCTGTTTTATTTCAGAATATTAGAATCTCATGGGTTTAATCAGTGCTGATACAGTCTCTTTGTATACAACCCTTAAGCTATATGCAAAAATATACTACTGTTAAATTCACAAATTCTGTAATAAGCAGTATTACATTTTATATAACTTTATCTGTACAGAAATAAACTTTACAGAATTAGCTGTAATTACTTTAAAGCTGATAATACTTTAGACTTCAGTCCAAACTTCACAAATCCAAGACTTCAAATCCAAGGGATACCACCTTGTTCAGTTTCATAGCAGATTTCTTTATGTAATGAGAGCTGTAGTTTAAGGCTGAAGGTAGGTTATAGACCAAGCCACACAAGCTTCAGTGGTATGCAGCTTCACTGTATGTTTTTAACTGATACAACTACTCCCATACCATCAAGTTCATTACAAAATGTGTTTGTTTTTATAAAATAAAGCAAATATCCCTGACAGAGAGGGCATTATCTTAGAAACATGTATCTTAAAAAAGAGAGGCAGTCTCTTATAAGCAGAAAACTTACTTTCTTCGAATAAGAAAACTTTCTGAGTGAGTACTCGGTATAGTCTTTGAGCCAAAATAGTTTGTGTTACTCTATGCATCAAAGCCATCCTTCGGTTGTCACCCCCAAGTAACATTTTCTGTCTTCTTTACTGTGTTGTTATAAAGATGGTGAAAGCACAAAAAAGGATTAATGGTGACAATCAAAGTCAAGATTATATTGGGGGGGAAAAAAAAACCAAACAAACCCCAAACAACAAAATAAACCAACAAAAAAACAACCCAAATTTGAAATGTTTCTCTGGTTTTTTCAGGGACAGATAAACTTGCGAGAGCAAGAATCTGTCTGGTATAAAAACCTGAATATGTGTATCACTGTAGCCTTGCTCCACCAAATTTCACTGTTTACAGGCTTTTTACTGCAATTACTAGACTTACTGAATTACTAGATATCTTTGATTTAATATTAAATATATTACCAAGAAACTGTTCTTCAGAGTCTCACTTAAAATGTCAATTGTCAAAATACTACACAGACCATTAATATGTGGTTGATCACTAAGGTGTTGAGGTTTTTTACCTGAAATTTAGGTCAAACTGTCAGTTTCCCTGCTATCTCAGACCTCCACAGCAGTATATTTTCTAGTGTCCTGTGAAACAGTTGCTAATGTCTCAAAATCAGGGACTTCTGTCTTTCAGAATGAGAAGTTTGTCTGTTTTTCTGGTTTAATTCTAACCACTTCTGTTCCTGTTAAACTGCACAACACCAGCATAAAGTAAGATAATGTTATCAGAGTGGTCCATCTTTAGTCTTTGAGGAGGATCCAGATTCCCCAGTTTGGACTTCACTATCTTATGTGGCTACTCACCTCCCTCTTGTCTGTTGCACCCTTAAGGCTGTAGAGCATCAGCTTTCTAACAACCTCACTGTCCCTTACTTGCCTTTTTTACTTGCTCAGCTGTCTAAGCTGCTAAAAGAGCAGCAAAAGTGGCAGTGGTCAGGATGGAGGAATTGCATCTTTGAAGCTCTGCTGTCAAGCACATACTTTATCTGGCACTTACTAATGTAGTCAGTTTTACTAATTGTTAATTAATGCACTGTATGTCTTAATACTGGTACACTAATTGGAAACGTAGAACTGTACTGCTTACATTGGAAAGAAGAATGTTTGATGCACTTTTTTCCATTCCTTCCTAGAAGTGACTTACTAGTAGCAACAAAAGTAAATCTGAAACCATAGAGACAATAGATGGCTGTAAAACCAGAGGAAAACATAATAGGGAGAAAGGATAGGCCCAGGAGAGAGTATTATGACTTCATGTGATCCTTCTTAAAATATCTAATTGAAGTATCAACAGAAGAGTTTAAATACCATTTTAATAAGCAATATTTAAGTGAGCTGTAACAGAATAATGTTTAATTTTACAGCAAATCTGATTAATAGTGAAACCAACAACAAAAAATTATTTCCCTATTATGCATATCAAATTTGGTTTTTTTACAGAGAAGAAACTGAGCAAAATAGCTTATTTTTCATTAGCTTTTCATAGTTTGCTGTTTTCATTAGAATTGTGGTCTTGTACACATAGTATGTGACTTACATTCTGTGTTCTCTAGAAAAAAATTGAACCGTTCTTGGAGCAAGAAGTACGGGCTTTTCAATAAAATAAGGATTTTTTAATAGGTAACATTAGATGCAAGAAAATTTACCTTCCTAATTATTAGGTAAATATAACTATAATAGAGATGAGTAAATTTTAGTGACTAATCAAGGACTGAGGTACAACTTTTCATTTAATGCTATATTTACTGTTTTTCTAGTGGCCGAATGTAAATCTAAGGAACTATAAAGATGAACAGTTGCACAGGTATGTAAAAATTATGTAGATTTCCTTTGAAGAAAGAAATTTGGAGAAAATGGGTTTTAATATTGCAGTAAAGTTGGAAATGTCACATTTCTAAAACTTAAATAGGTAAGCAGTAAAAATGAAAACTTAGATAATTAGGTTGCAGTATTTGCTTTAAATGAACAGGTCTTTAAGCTTTAGTGGTTTCTTTTCTGTGCATAGATACTTTATATATTTATTCACTTAACAACAATCATACCAATTTTGCAAACACCCTATTTCATTTCAAACCTTAAAGTATTACCTCTTTGGTATTTCATACATTAATGTTTGATGTCAGCATTTGACAAATTTTGACAGAATAAATCTACAGTTGTACAGTCACATAGTTATAGCTTTCATCAAAAACCAAGACGATGTTATTTCTAGTTGATACTAATGGCAGGGGAAGCGTGTGTGATTTGGCAAACAAAACAAAAAAAAAACCACCAAAAAACCAAACCAAACCAACAACCCCACAGCAACAAAAGGAAGTATAGCTTTGGCTCCTTTCATGTCTGTTGGCATTAAGACTTTTTTTACTTAAAAGTGTTACTAATTAGTTTTTGGATGTCACTTTTAACATGCATATCAGAAGTTGATTTGATTAAATTATTTTGAAGAGTAGTTCTGTATTTGTAGGCATGGAAAGCTACTTGTACATGAATTTGAGGAAAAACCTAAAGTTAAAACATATGCTGAAAGGCTCACGCTGCTCCATTTTAAATTTTTACTAAAAAGTAATCAGGCTACTTTTATACAGGGTTCCCAGCATTAAAGTGGTAGTCCCATTGTAATCATAGCCATAATTTAACTTTGCATTTGTGGTTTTTTTCTTCCCCATACATTAATTGCCAATCTGTACTTTGTGATAAAGGATTATTTTCCAAATCAGGTGGTTTATAACGTTGCTTCTCTAAAGCAATGTCTGCAGTCTTGGCTGTGACACCCACACCCACCCCTCTACCTACCTGCCTGGGACAATGTTCCTGTTCCCTGGTTATGTGCTGCTCTCAGCATTGTTCAATGCCTAAATAATTTAATTCCAAATAAATTGACAAAATACAGGACTGAGTGAGTGTAAAACTGAAATGGTTCGTTGATCCTTTCTGCAGGTTTGGGGGTTAGATGCTTTGATGGTTTTAACATGCTATTGTGCTTGTTTAATTAAAACTAATTATGCCTGAATCTTTCTAGTTTCACTGCCGATCATAAAAATTTTTCAGCCACTTTGTTTTTGAAGTGTAAAGTACATTTCTTTGTCCTTCTGTAAGTTGATTTTTTTAAAATTCTTTTTTTACTGTTAAGTGTTCTTGTGATGATCTTACGGCCATTAAAGTGAAATTGCAGATATCTTTGATATAGATTCCTTCATTTTATAAAGATACTATTAATGCAATGTGTATATACATATGTATGTGTACGTACATACCTATACACACATACTTAACTATGCATTATACACACACACACATAAGTGTATGTGTTATTTATTGCTAAATTTAAAGAAGCCCTCATTTCCTTTATAATTGGTCCTGTGTTTGGAGTTGGGGATAGTGGCTTACTTTTTATTACCTAAAGATGCAGTGCTTTAGTTAAGTTTTCTTAATGCTTGGCATATCTACTTTCAGACAGAACATTCTGTGTTACTTTAAAGCACAAATGTGTGTTTATTTTTTGACGAAGAATTAGCGAAGGGAAGCTCTTTGAAGATTTATTCCTGCAATACAGAACTCAAGCTATATTGTTTACTGTAATTTCAAAAAATCTGAATGAAACTGTGTTTGCGATCACTGTGTTAGGCTTCAGAAATGCTTAACTGAGGTGAATGAAGATACTGTTACTGAATAAGTATGGCCTTTTCCTGGCAGAACACAAAAATGTGTATTTCACAGAAGTGTTAACTCTTACAACTGAAGAAAACTCATGTCACGGATTCTTTTTTAGCTCTTTAAGTCTAGATAGTACAGTCCTTGAAATTCAGCACTGGATAAATTACAGCAGAATAAATTACAAGCATGAGGATCAGAAGGAAGCTATGGCTTCTAAGAGCACAGAGATTTTTGAGTTCCTTTGTTTCTTTTAAGTCATGGCATAGAAACCCCTTTATAACACACAGTACAACTGCATCTCTGAAATTGTGTCTGGATAGACTCATTACTGCTACTTGCTACTCTTGATAACTTATGAAAATTTATTGCCAATCGGCTAATATAGTGATAACATACTTTTTCTACCAGCACCATTTTGTACTGTGAGACTGTCCTTGTCATACTGAAGAACAGCAAATTCTTTTTTACTTTCCATAGGTTTGTAAGGAGATTACTGTATTTTTACAAGCCCAGCAGTAAACTGTTTGCCAACCTGGATCTGGACTATGCCAAGGCTAAGCAGCTCACTGTGGTGGGTTGTCAGTTTACTGAATTTCTTCTTGAATCAGAAGAGGTAAGAAATTTTCAGCTGCAAGACTAGAGGAGTGGTGCTGCTGTATGCCACTTAAAGGAAAAAAACCTAAAATTTAGTAAAGACTTCTGTAAACTTTTTGGGTGTTAAGTCTAAAATGATCAGTGTAATTAAGAAATATAATTTAATATCTTAAATTGTCCAGATGAGACACTGAGGAAGATGACTGTGTTTAAGTAGAAGTTTTATTAAATACAGCTTTACTAAATGCAACTTAGGGTTTAGAGTAGTTTGGGCGGTTTTTTGTTTGGTTGGTTTTGGGGTTTGGGTTTTGTTGGTTGGTTTTTTTGGTTGGTTGGTTGGTTGTTTTTTTAGTTTTTGCTATGTATGTCCTTCTTTTTTCTTGTTTGCTAAAGACTTTTATGCCTCAGGCCAGAGAAATTGTCATGGAACAATCCTTTTCCTGGAAAGAATAGAATTGGTCCTAAGATGTCTCCAAGCTAAGCTCTCTCTATTTGCTTTGAACCTTTTTCTTTAGCCTGAAATGTGTTTGCCAGCCAGCATTTATATTTTGTATCTGTAGTGTGTGTGTACCTTTTAAGAAACGATGGATTTCAGTAAAGGAGAGAGACAGTTCGTGTTACTAGTAAGTGCTATTACTCTTTGTGTTACTAGGATGGACAAGCTTACCTGGAGGAATTGGTTAAAGATATTGTCCATTGGCTCAACTCTTCATCAGGAATGAAACCTGAACGTAGTCTTCAAAATAATGGGTTACTAAATACCCTTAGCCAGCACTACTTTCTTTTTTTTGGTACTCTCTCTTGTCACCCCCATGGAGTGAAAATGCTGGAAAAATGTAATGTTTTTCAGTGGTGAGTGTTTTTATTCTGCTTGAATTGTGCTTATGGGTATAATAGTGATGAGAATTGTAAACTGTGCATGAGGACCACCATCTGTTAAGCTGAAAACTTTACAGTTCTTTTGATTTACTTACAAGTAAAGATCCCCAGTTGTGAGGGTTTTTGGCCTTCTTTTTAAGAAGGGGTCTTTTAGTCTGTCATTACTGAACAGGTAGGGTGATTGTGTCACAAAATAGCTTACTCTTTCCTGTCCACATCTATCTGAAAGAAATTAATATCAGGAAGGATGATACTGTACTGAAAAGACAGGAAAAGAAAAAAAGAAAAGAAAAAAACAACACCCCAGCAAAACCCAAATCAAACCAAAAAAACCACACAAACCACTAAAAACTGCAGATACCATACTGTTTGCAAAATGTGTTGATCCATGTTGTACCTAAACTTCAGTCCGATGTATTTGAGTGAAGCTGTGAAATTCAAACTTTCTTCAGGTACAAACTAACTTGCATTCCTTTAGGAATAAATTGGCTAGTGGCTAATACCAGTTTATTTTAAATAGGGTAAAATTTAAACAAAAATACAGGTATTCTGATGTACTTTTTTTTAATTAAGTTGTTTTCATTGATTATTAGAATGCAAGTTTTTACTGGCTTCAGAAAATTTATTTTACAGTGAAATCTAGACAGTTAATAGGACCAACCTTATGGCAAACTTTATACACAGAATGTTTTGCAATGAGGAATTGTTCACAGAGCATCATGAACATTAATTTTTGTACTCATAATCACTAATTAAAGTATGCTGACAAAATTAGTACACAGCAGTTATAAAAATGTTAGTTTGGGCTTTTTCTCCTTGCAATTTAGTGGTTGGTTTGGTCCGCATTTGAGTCGAACAGCTCTAACAGTTTAAAGTTACTCCATTTCATAGGAGAACTTAGTTTGTATTCTGCATTTATAGAAATGAAAGTGTAATTCAAAGGTTAGTTTAAATTATTGACTGAATAAATAAGTGGGTTTAAGTGGGTTCAAATACTAATTTTTATTTTCTTTTCCTTCCCTTCCTCCCTCCCCCTTGCCTCCAGTCTTCTTAATCTTTGTTCTTTGAAGAACCAGGATCACTTGTTAAAATTGACTGTTTCTAGTTTGGATTACAGCAGAGATGGGTTAGCAAGAGTCATCCTTTCTAAAATCCTGACCGCAGCAACTGATGTAAGTTTCATTCAACTTACATTACATTGTTATTTGCCACTAGACATTTATTTTGTCATTCAAGGTATATGACAGAGAAGTGAAACTTCTATTCATGTAGTTCTTGAATTTGCTGTGACCTTCACGCTGTATATCGTACTTGTGCTCAAGAAATAGTCATTCAAATTGAGATTTCTCTCATGTATGAAGGGGGTTAAAGTTTTGCATAAACCATGTGTAACATTATTGTCAAGGTCAGCAGACATCCTAAATCAGTCGTGAAGGTCTTGTTTTCACAAAGAGAAACGTATGTTTCTAGCAGTAATAAACATGTTAACCTTCCAGTGGTAGATACTGTTTTGATAATGATTGAGGTTACTGTGGTAGAACTGGGTAGAAGCTATAGCTCATGGAATGAGAGGGTGGTTGAGAAATAGGCACTGGGATTTGTACTTCTGAATCAAAGAAGGTGAGTGGAAATAAAACTTATGTAGACTTGGGAGAGAAAGCTCTTGAACTTTTAAGAAAAGAGAAATCAATCAGGTGTAACATAGAAGACAAGCAAGCATTGATGTCTGGGAAATGACAATTAGTAAGTTGAAATCTAACTAGGAAAGAATTTTTATTACTTCAGGGAGAGCTATTCCTCTGTCACTGGACAAGATAGAATGTATTCTAGAGTGGATACAAGAGGTATTCCCTCTTGTAGAGGTAGATGCTAGTTTTCAGTGTCTCATCATATCTTGGAAGAGGAGAGGGAAAGAAAGAAAGAAAGAAATAGAGGATATTTCTCTGAGACTATCACAGATAGGATGATTCTTATAGGTAAAGAGTGGAGCCTGAAAATAGTAAAGATAGTTGGGGTTGAAGGAATGACTCATTGAAAGAAGAGGGTGAAGCTCCCTACAGAATAATTTTTAAATGACCTTTCAGTGAAGTGGTAACTTTGATTTCCTTTCTCCAAAGTTCTTTTTTCCTAGTTTGAGCAAGAAAACAGATGTTAATATGTTGTGAGGACACATGCCCATGTCTTTATTGGACTTCCAAGCTCCTGTTAGATGACTGTCAGTTAAAAGCAATTTAGACTGTGCAACTTCATTTAGCTGTTTCTATTGAGATTACGTGACAGTAGTTGTTGCCGCCTCCACCACCTTCAAGCTATTTTTACCTCATAAAAAAGGGGCCATAACTGAGGGAAGAGCACTCCAGCATTTCTGTTTGTTCCCAATGCAGCTAGTTAACAATTAGAACAAGGTCCAGGCATGCTGTTACAATCTCTTCAACAAACTATACAGTTCCAATAATAACTTGAGGCATTTCATTATGAACTAGTGTTTGTGGTTTAGATTTTGGGAAAGATTTCTTGATTCTGATATCTAAAGTATGAAGATGTAAATTCTGTTTTGAGAAGGATGCTTCCATGTTTTCAAACATCCAATACTTACACCAGAAGCTTGATTAAGGTAGGAGTGGGTTGATCTCCATCCAAATGTTCTATAAATACCTAATTTTCAACTTTTTTTATCTTGGGATGGGAGTGGGGGGGAAACAAACAGAATGCCTTCAACTCTGACACAAGTATCATAGCTGTAAGCAGACTGGCTTGAAGTGGGGTGCAGATACTGTCTGACTATACTGTCCCAAGCACATAAAAAGCCAGAAAGCAGTTGAGAGCTACTGCTGCTTTTAGTGATGAAAGTTAAAAATACAATTTCCACCTATTTGTAATTCAGCTGAATGAACAATAGGTAGTGAACACTTCTTTTACGTCAGATATGAACAGGGTAGACATCACTCTTCAGCATCTTAGCGATTAAGGAAGCTTGTAGAGCCCCCCGGTTTACCCCTTTTAAGTTCTGGCCTGTTTGGGATTGTGAAAAGGATTAGAGATCATGATCTGATCACTGACATTACCTTGACTGTTTAGTGTCAGACCATGACAGATGTTGAAGTAGAACTCTTTGGGGAAAGCTAAGAGACATTCTACAAGCTCAGAAACTTAAGGATGCAAATTTTGGAGCTCAAACCTAAATAATTAGTTTTAAAGTTGGAGATCTTTCTTGTACACTGATACCTTCTCACATCCATGATGTCTCAACCTACATCAGTAGCCTGTGGCTTCTGAGTTCTAAGGCTTCCATTTCCCAGTCTCTCACTGATGTGTGGAGCTGGCAACATTGTCTGGGGAAACAGTAGAAGAGTTAAGTAACTGTCTATTTCTGGCAGTTGGCTGAAATGTAGAAGAATAGAAATTATTGGGATATATCTTCTCAACTGCCGAGCACTGTCTTATTCTGTAAGTAAAAGTGTAACCTTTCTCATATGTGCGCAATACGGGTCCGTAGTTCTTAATATGAGATTTAGGTGTGCATTCATGTATAGCAGGTCTCTAACCATAGCCATTTCATAGTTCATAGCTGAGATGTGTTGCAGTGTAAACTCTGCTATTTAGAGTTCAGCGTTGTACTGGGTGAGACTGTACCCTGATGTTTGTGTGCTGCAATACCATAAGAATCCCTTCAATATTTTCATTTTTTAAAAAAAAAAAAGACAACACATTTAAGAAACAAAAAATTAAATTTTGCTTGTGCATCACAAATGTAAATGAATCTTACTACCAGGATGCTAAAGCAGAGGGAAAGTTTACTGTTTGAACCTGTTAGAGAGCCTGACTTCCTTTGTGAAACACACTGAACCCTGAGGGATGGATAAAACTACTTTGGGGTGTTTTGTTTCCTGAATTAGTTGGCTTCTTTGGAATTCTTGAAATTTATAGGGAAATATTTTGTATATTTAATCTAAAAGAGGAAAATGACGAATAGAATGGACTGTCTCAGCCAGCAGAAATAGGCCTACATTTGTATCAATTACAGATGATTTAATTCTTGGATAAAATTTGTTTTCTTTTCCTGTTTTACCATGTGCCCAACCCTATACATTCTTATGGTGGAAACTGAACTGATGGAATTTGCTAAGAAAATTTCACTGAATACTATTTGACAAAAAAGCAACATGTTGACTTATTGAAGAACCCTTTGGCAATACCTGGTGTACACAATATTGCAGTATTACCTCTTGGACAAAATGCTTGTCTTCAGTGTTTCTGCTGTTCATGCTTCCAATAGAAGATCAAAGCATAAAAAGCTAATCCAAAGGATAAAATCTTTTGATTATTCTGGTAGTAGCTGTATCTTTAATGGTATAAGCAGTATTTTGAACTGTAATTGGCAAAATTACAGGTCTCTTCCAGAAATCAAAATACTAATGTGAGGTGGAAATAGTTGTCAATTCGGAGAGATAAGGTACTGAAAGAGTATGGAAATACTGAACAGACAGGTATTTGCATGGACAGTTCTACTGACTGAGGAATAATTTGGAAGTACCTCTGTTCAGATGTTAAGGGAAGGTATCTGCCACTTTCTGGGTTTTATGTTCTGGCATTCTGAAACAGCAGCATTGTCAACAGGAAAAGAAAATTCATTCCTTCATATTTATCAAGCATGGTAGGAAAAAAATTGAAATTTGGCATAGTTTATACCACTCGCTGCTCTGTCCGTAAGGAGACTGTATTTTTAAATATTACCAGAACTGACATTCTGTCACTATGGACAAGTGAATCCTGAGATTAAAAATTAATATGGAGTTCAATTCAAATAAGGTACTTACAAGTCCTTCCACCTTCCCTTTTCAAGGACTTCTGATGAGGACCTTGTAGAATGAGTGGAGCCTGTGTAGTAACCCTCTGGAAGGGTTTGTGTTAATTCATAATCCAGAAGACAAGTCATGATTTTTTTAAATTTTTATTCTGTATGCTGTTTCTGCCTCCTAAATTCTTTTTAAAAGCAGTAAAAATGTATGGGACTAGACATAATTTCTGAAAAGATATTTTGTGAGAGAGACCATCTACAGTAAGGCTGCTTCTCTTCAGAAATTTTAATTCCTTGAGACGTTTGTTAATGAAATATCTTACCTGTTTATTTCAAAAGCTGAAGATGTTCTTTTTATTGGGATGAGGGTATAGCCTCATATACCTTTTAAAGTTACTCAGTTACGAAGTAGCTTTGTTAGCTATTTGCTAATGAGTGTGTCTGAACAAGGAGAAATTTCTGTAGCCAGCTTAGCGTTAGAAGGGGAGAGTAGCATTTTGGGGTGACTGTACACAATGAAAACATTTACAGAGTAATATATGCTTGCAGATCAGTGGAGCAGATGCACATCTTAACCTACTTCCAGATGTGCTTTGATTATTCATGCTAAAGCAAATTAATACTGCCTCAGCTGCCTTTCTGCAAGTTCATAATACAAACAGTGGAGTAGCCACTGTGTCCAAGTACTGCAGTTCATGACCTAAAATTTTATCTTCATAGGTGGCTAAGTGGTAGACAACCTGGTGGCTGTATGGAATCATCTGATCCTGGTGACCTCTGACTTACTTTTACTGTTAAAGGGCTTTGAGACCCTTAAAAGTGAAGAAGCAAGAATCTTCTGACAGATTTAGTACAGGGCTTAATGTATGGTTTTCATGTATTTCACAGATGAGGGAAAGAGGGGAATGTCTGTTTTCTCAGATATCCCCCTACACTGGTTTTCTATCGGTTCTCATCAAAAGTAAAAATATTCGAGGATTTTGCATCATCTGGAAAAGCAATGCTGGGTTTTGCCCCCCTGATCTGGGAAATGCATACAGGTGGTTCTGCTGCACAAATGTTGTGGCCTTGCTTGAAGGCTTTATAACTGTTGTAAATGCATTCAGTGGTTCTGCAGCCCCAGGTCTGAGGTTTGAGCAGCTTAGTCTGAGTCATTCCTTGTTGTAAAGACTCTTTTCCATTATCTTCAGTTACATAAAACCCTGTTCTGCTGTTATTTACACCTTCTTAATTGTTGTTCTTTTTCTTTCTGATGATGGTAGGAAGACGAGAACTGTACAGTGTCCAAGTTAACACCAAGTGGGTTTACCTAGTGACAATGCTGACACATTTTCTTCTGTTTACTTTCAGTGATTTTGGTTGCCATTGAACTTCTGTCTAACGCTTCTAACTAATATTAGCCCCAAGATCTTTTCCCTGGGTGGAAAGAGCTGACTCAGCCTCTGTGGTGTGTGTAAAGCTGGGATTATTTTTTTGCTTTAGCTTATTGTTTCAAATTTATCTGTAGTGAATTTTATTTGCCATTTTATTGTCCCATTAGTCAGGAGTTCTTTGTTATCTTTTCCTTCTCCAAACAGAAAATAAAAATTGTTCAACTTCTGTACAAGCTATCTGGATAGATTAATTCACATTCAGGAAGTATTTCAGGAAGTGAACATTATTATCTTTTGTTCTCTGTATCACACTGAATGTATTATATCAGTAACAACAATTCTTTATAGACAGATTTTAACACTTGAACTACATGACACTGGATTCTTGTTTCATATTACTGTGTTATTCTGTAGGCTTAACATCTAGATCAAGTGATCATTTCGGCATAATAGCTCATGTTTTCATCTTTAATAAATATGCTGCTAGTTGTCTATTCGACATACAAGGCATACTACTAATGGGATGCAAACCATTTCAAAATGGTTGTGCAGCCTAGATCAGAGGTCAGAATCACTGGTACAGTCTTTCTTGGTATGTGTGTTATGTCAAAAAAAAACCAGAAAATAAGCCTCTGTATATTAAGTCGAACTGTGCATATGATATTTGAAGTTGAAATAATGAGACAAGGTTTTTGAAATGAACTGTGTACGTTCACATTTCCTACTCTGGTTTTCTTTCAAGTCACAGAATCCCAGAATAGTAGGGATTGGAAGAGATGTCTGGAGATCTAGTCCAGCCACCTGCTAAAGCAGGTTCACCTAGAGCAGGTTGCACAGGATAGCATCTAGTCCTGCTTGCCAAGTATTTCTGGAGGCAAAGGAACAATCCAGAAGATATTGTTAACCCTAGGTAGTGCTGTCCAACCTGGACCAATTCACCTGTCTCTTGGAGTACAGATATTCACATGCATCCCAATGTAGATCATTTATATTTTAATTTATAGAAAATTTACTTGGTTATAGCCGTCATAGCCTTAAAGGTGTAGGAACTGAAGACCTGAAGAAAGATTTAAGCACTTGATTTCGTGTTTTCCATCTATGCCTGTCTAAGTATAGATAACAACTTTCCTGGTAAACGTATGTTGTCAGGGTTGCTCTGTACTTACTCTAGAACACTGCAATTTCTTGTAGATTAAACCTGTTTGCTTCTATTTTGTATGTATTTTTTCTAATAGAAAATGGTGTTAACAAGTTTATGCTGTTAATTCAGCAAGTTTTGAACTGCAGTACAGGAACAGTCAGGATACTTCATTCTGCTGTCACTTGGGGAAATTCATAATAATAAACTAAGTGTTGGGAAACTGTCTTATTACAGAAAATAATATTTTTCTACTTAGAAGGTTTTCTAAGAAGTTTTGAAGACTTTTGGGAAATAATTTAAAAATTACTAAAATAAATTCCCCAGAGGTTCTAATGCTTGCCTGTTAAAAGTTTATTTTCAAAACATTCATATATGAAAGTATATGCAATGCTATGGGCCATTTACAAGGTATTTTTCCTGCTAATCCTCATGACTTTGTGTAGTGCTGTTACAGTGAATAACTACTTGGTAAGGGCTTTCCAAGGAGACCTGCAGTGACCAGATTACTTGTGACTCAGACTCAAATTTCCCATCTGATAAGATAGAAAGAGTTCTTTAATAGACTGTAGTTTTAATAAATAAGGTGTGCATCACAGCTGCTTGCTGTAAAATACAGTAATTGAAATTTATTTTTAAAAGTGATAAATCATTAACTACATTGGCTATTTTTGTTCCATTCAAAAAAGCATTTTTCTTTCTTTTGCAGAGCTGCAGGTTATATGCCACAAAACACCTACGAGTATTACTGAGAGCAAATGTAGAGTTCTTCAGCAACTGGGGGATTGAGTTACTGGTGACCCAGTTACACGATAAAAATAAAACTATTTCTTCTGAGGCACTTGATATTCTAGATGAGGCATGTGAAGACAAGGTGAGCATCCTTTCCCTCTTCAACCTCTTTTTGGTACGCTACTCTGTAAGCTGTTCCCCACTCCCTCATCCAGTAGTAAAGTAAAAGTATGCAAGAAGCTACTGATGGTTTCTTTTCTTGATTGTCATTCATGGACTTCATAATAGTTTATAGAACCGCACCCTCCGCCCCCTTGCTGAAAATACTGCAGTATTAATTGCAAGAAAATGTAGACTTCTGGATTGTGCCTACTTTTAAATATTAATTCAGACTAATTCAGCTAATTTGATCATTATACTTTTTGTGAAGTAATATATATTTAATGACAGAAGGTACCTGAAGTGGATAATATTAGGATGTTAGTGATGTTTGCTTCTTTTGTGAAAAACTACTTCATTGCTGGCAGATTGTTGCAATTGTTGTAGTAGATATACCTTACACATTTTTAATTATTTTAGGCCAATCTTCATGCCCTAATCCAAATGAAACCAGCTCTTTCTCATCTTGGAGACAAAGGTTTGCTTCTACTACTAAGGTAAATAGTGAATATGCTGTTTGTTGTTACACTGTGGAAACAAATAAGTTTTTGTTTTTATTCAAATTATATGATTCAAGTGGAGTACTAACTGTCTGATGTTACTTTACAGATTTCTGTCCATCCCAAAGGGGTTTTCATATCTCAATGAAAGAGGTTATGTAACAAAACAAATGGAAAAGTGGCAAAAGGTAATACTAAGAATAAAAAGTGTGTTTGATGTTAGAAGGGGGAAGGGTGTGAATATGCCGGTTTAAAAGTTCAAAGATTCTTAAAAATACTGCATATTCATATATACGTATTGCTAATGCAAATACATTTTATTACCTCAGTGACTTAAAATTTTGCTGAAAAAGGTTGACAGGGACCTCAAGTTCATAGCTCCTCTGTACATACATGTTTTTGATTTATGTAGGCATTTTATATAATTTTGATATTTCAGGAAATATTTCAGGAGTGTAGTGAAAAATAGGTTGTTGTGTAAGGTCTTAACTAGAGAAGTGTGTAAAGGAATACTACTCTTCAAGATGCCTCTGGTTTGTTACTAATTAAAGTTAAATCTAGAGGTTATGAAGATAGAATTAGCTTTTGCTCTTAGGAGGTAAATAGGAACAACAGACCATTAAGAAAACTGCTGTCATTATCATGACTAGAATAAAACTCTTCATACGTTATTTTGTTTTCATAGCTGATTATAAGTCCTTGGTCTCATTCCTGTTGGCAATTTTTTTATTAACTTAGAAGCTGTCACTTCTGTAGGAATGCTGAAATGCATGGTGGGCTGTTGAGATTATTCAGGTTAAAGTCAAATGTGAAGTATTTCCTTCTTTCCTTCCTTTATAACAAATTCACTAAAACAATTATGGAATCAATTGTCAACTGTGCACCCTCATTATATGTATGAAGTGCAGTAGTTTTGGTGAGCCTCACTTTCAGACCATAAAGAAATTCAGCCTTCTTTAAAGAGCACTTCAATTATTCCCTCCTTATAAAGTACTCTACTATAAAACCATAAACCACTAAATGTATTGTGTTAACCTTTGTCTTTTCTTTTAGGAATATAACTTAAAGTATGTTGAATTGATTGAAGAACAACTTAATGAAGCACTTACAACATACCGCAAACCTGTTGATGGTGATAACTATGTTCGTCGGAGCAACCAAAGGTAAATTTGGGAAAATGCATCTTTGGGCAAAAACTGGTAGGGATGATCCAATAAAGCTTTAAACTACAATTGATGGGAGAAAGGGATACCAACAGTAGCCAAGCCAAGGGTTGACATGGCATCACCTGAGAGTGGCAATGCTAGCAGAAACACTTACACTGCAGCTGGGAGCATGGAGGGCTTGGGAGCATGGAGAGCTTAGGAGCGTATCTGAAATGCCTGCTCACTCAGCCAGGATGTTAGCACTGATGAGTTATTCTATAGGCAATTAGGAGAAATTTCTGGATTGGTAGCCCTTGCCCTTTTGGGAGATGGCAGCTTCCCAGACATCAGCTGGGAATACCATACTGCTGTGACAAGCAGGTCTTAGAAATTCTTGATTTTTGTGGGAGAGAACTTCTTATCACAAGTACTCAGTGAGCCAACTAGGAAAGATGCCCTCCTAGACTTGCTGTTTGTGAATACACAAGGACTCGTAGGAAATGTGATGATAGGTGGTTGTCTTGTCTTGGCCACAGCAATCATGAACTGGTTGAGTTTAAAATGTTCAGTGTAATGAGAAAAAAAGAACAGCAGAGTTGCTATCTTGAACTTCAGGAGATCAAACTCAGGAAGCGGTTTAGCAGAGTACCCTGGGAATCTGCTTTTGAGGGCTTAGGAGTCCATGAATGCTGGTCAGTTTAAGAACCACCTTTGAAAAGCACAGGAGCAGGCAATCCCATTGTGTTGTAGGTCAAGCAAGAGGGGCAGCAGACCGGTGTGGCTGGGCAGGTAACTCCTCATGCAGCTCAAGAGGAAAAAGAAACCGTATGTTCTCTGGAAGCAAGGTCAGGCTTCACAGGAAGATTATAGACCTGTGGTTCGTATAAGCAGGGAGAAGACACAAAAGGCAAAGCTCAATTAGAGTTGAAACTGGCCAGCGGGCCAAAGTAGGCGATTATCCCACTGTATTCAGCATTGGTGTGGCCTCACCTTGAATGCTGTGTGCAGTGCTGGGCCCCACTGTTTAAGAAGGACAACGACTTCTCCTCTCTTCTCCTCCTCTCTTCTCTCTCCAAGAGTCATCTTTTTCTGAAGAAAAGCAGAATAACTCATTGTATTACATTGCAGTGTAATATATTTTAAAAGAAAACGTCAGAATATCTGGGAAAACATGATTTCTCTTTCTGCCAGATTGCAGCGACCACATGTCTATCTGCCAGTTCACCTTTATGGCCAACTTGTGCACCATAAAACAGGCTGCCATTTGTTGGAGTCTCAGGTGAGGATTATAACTATTTATAACTTGAAAGATCTTTAAAAGTACTGTAACCCTTTTAAAATGTTTATAAAGCGATGGCATCTAAACAGTCGTTGCCAAATAAATTGAATCATGAAAGTCTGAAGTTACATGGGGCCAAAAAGTTGTGAAGACAGTCTTTGTCATCTGGTATCATGTAAAATTCCTTCCTGACACTGAAATATCAGAGAAATATCTTGCAACATTTTTCTTAAAACAGCTCACAAAATCTTAAAATAGAAAGCAACTCACCAATAGAAATAATTTTTCAGTCTGTGTGTGAATTGTATATAGACAAGTAAAACTGTGCCTATCCTTTTATGCATGCAAAAACATTGAGATGAGGGAATAAAATCTTATTTTATGATCCTGAAAAGCTAAGAAAAACTCTAAGCCAGTTTGTAGTTACTTAAATGAATTCACTTTTAATGTGAGTTTGCAAGATGATGTAATGTAATTGAATGTGATAGTTGAAAAGTTCAAGAGAAAGCTTATATATTGCAGTATGTTAATCTGATTAATCTGTTAATCAGAATTAACTTGGTGCAATCAGTGGTTGCATTAAAATTTCCTACTTGCATTATCATTGCTGTTTATGCATATTATTCCAGGACTACCACTGTTTATTTTAGGGTGCATACTTTAAATTACTGCTTTACCTTTTATTAAAAATGCAAGAGAACCTGCTTGACTGAGATCTCTTTTTTTTTTTTTTTTCGTTTTCAACTGAGTGGGTTTTTTTCTTTTGTTTTTCTCCTTCAGAGTATTGTTACAGATCTAAGTTACACTGTTCGTTCCCCAATGCTGGATAAGTGGGAAGGAATTAAGCAGCTGAAAGCAGCCCTTTGGGCCTTGGTTAGTAACAGATTTACAGGCTTTTTACAGTTGTTTTGAGTTCTGTTGTGATTCTTGATTCTGACATAATTAAGCAAAATCCCATAAAATTATTAATTAAGGTTTTTGTCATAAAATGTGTGTGACTTTTTTTTTCCAAGTTGGTGTTCTGTATCCTAACTGGACTTTCAGTTGAAAATGGTTCGCTGCACCTTTTTTGTTCTGATTTTTTTAGTAGTCACTTTGTCTTTTTGTCTTTTTTCTTTTTTAACAAATAAAAGGAACAGATTGGCACATGGAGCAACAATATTAGTATGGAACCAGTAGTTTGGAGTTGCTGTGGTCTGATTTTAATGTATTTACTGCGATGATCCAAAATTCGGTGTTTCTGGAAGAAAATTGGCTGCCACTGTTGATGTGTGTAAATATATATGATTATGACACCACATGTACTTGGGATAGGTGGAAACCTAGTCTCTATGCCTATCCAAGCTACACTTCTAAATTTGCTTTGTCACCTCAACTGCTTCTTTCTTGTCCTCCTCAAATTTTATTTCGGAACATTTGTCCAAGGTGACTGTTACTGGAAGATATTGTAGGTATGTAATAAAATGCCTGTGTAAGAGGAATGTAAAAAGAGTAAACCAAGGTGATACTGCTGGCTGTAGTAGAATTGGTAAAATGAGGAACACATAGTAGTTAACCATGAGTGGGTTTAGTTATTCTACATAGTGTGCTGAGACCTTTTTCAGATTTGCACAACTAGGAAATGGCAAAAAGGGTGCTCAGATCTCTAGTTGCTTTGAGAAGATGTGGCTTGAAACTGTACTATCAAAAACCAAAAATGTCAAAAGCTTTACACCGATAGTGCTGCAGATCACATCAAAATCAAAACTTACTTGAAAAACTTTTATTCCAGGGCAATATTGGATCATCAAATTGGGGTCTTAACTTGCTTCAAGAGGAGAATGTAATTCCTGATATAATGGCACTTGCCCAACATTGTGAGGTTCTCTCTGTTAGAGGGTATGTGTATCTGATTTATACGTAAAATTTACAGATGGTAGTTGCCATAGGCTTTCAAATAGCCTTACCTAATTAATATGAATATAGTTCTGCACCTACTTGGAAATAAGTTATTATAGATCATTGAGTATCAATCTCAGTCCTATACAATCACAGAATTGTGCAGGAAGTCAGAAAGAACATCCAGTAAGCAAATGAAACCTATGAAAAAAGATACATATTACTTTTCTCCTTTTTTAAGAAACAATTAAAATATTTGCTACTTATATCTCTGTTAAAACAAATTTATTGTTCCCCCATTTTTATTTGATACCTTTTTTGAATCTTTAAAAGCATAAATAGATGGTCTTTTGCCTAATATTGCTAGTGCATAAGTGTTTGTCCTTTTTTAAATTTATTTACAAAAAGGTACTTTTCTACTTTATATAATGAGGCTCTTGTAATAATTTGTTTTTATTTTTGAATAGTGTATTGTTCTCAGATATTTTAGTGCCTTTCTTAAGCTTCCTTTGATTTACAAATTCAAATGAAGAAAAAGCTACTTGGCAGTTTTGTGAAGTTTCTGCTGAATTATTTTGAAAATGGTGGGGTTTTGGTGGGTTTGGTTTTTTTTTTTTCAAAAGATAAATAAGTTTAGTTAAATTAGAAGCTATTATTGTTGCTCTTTTTTTCTGTATGTACAATAAATACAGAACCTGTGTCTACGTGCTTGGTCTAATAGCCAAAACTAAACAAGGATGTGATATTTTGAAGCATCACAACTGGGATGCAGTGAGACACAGTCGTAGACAGCCTTGGCCAGTGGTCCCTGATGACATGGAACAGCTCTGCAATGAACTTTCTTCTATACCCAGCACTCTTAGCTTGAATTCTGAGTCCACCAGTTCTAGGCATAACAGTGAAAGCGAATCTGCTCCTTCAAGTAAGTAAGAACAACAAAAGAACCAAGCAAAAACAATCCCCAACACCCCACCCCCCCGCCCCCCCCCAACCAGTATTTTGGTGTTCTTCAGCCGTTTGGCAGAATGAGATTCAGGCAAATGCTGTAAAGGAGCTATTGCAAGAAAGAAGAGTGCAAGCACGGGAACAGTTATATGCGTTCAGACAGTGGTAGACAAGTCAGAGGGAAGAGAACAGCATCTTAGGTTTTTACATTTGGTGTAAAAGTAAGAAGTTTTAACATTGGGGTAAGTTACTAGTTTTTATGTCAAGTCATGGCAGCTTGCTGTAATACTCTGCAGAAATCTCCAAGCTTAGGTATAAAGACACATTTACTTGGTTATCCTCAAAGGAGTATTCTAGAATATAAATATATATATTCTCTATGTATACAGAGTATTGCTGTATTTCAATTCTTGTATATTTTGAGTATCTAACATATTTTAATTTTGCTATGTATATTTGGATTTAAACCCAGAAATATAAGGTATTTAGATATTAAAGGAGCACATCGGTTGTAATCCTAGTAGCTGGATATTTGCACTGAAATAAGATAGTGTGGCTTTTCTTCTGAAGCAATGAGACCTTCAGGTCAGGCACTCCTCAAGATACGTTATTTATGCTACTAAGTTCTGCAGAAAGAATGATGAATTAAAATTGCAGTAAATAGCATAGTCTCCCATTTTGGCTTCTATAGGATTGCTTGCTTTTTGGGAATATGGCTATATGCTTTGAAGAAATGTCCGTTTTCTCATATAATTTCAGGTATGTTCATCATGGAGGATGACCGTTTTGGTAGTACTTCCACTAGTACATTCTTCTTAGATATTACTGAAGATGCAGAACAAATCTTTTATGACAGACCTGGACCTTCAAAGGACAAAGACCGTAGTCCCTTTCCTTTTTTTTCTTCTAGTAGACTTGTGAAAAATCGCATTCTAAACTCTCTTACTCTACCTAATAAAAAACACAGAAGTAGCAGTGATCCAAAAGGAGGAAAGCTGACAACATCTGACAGTAAGTCATGCCTGAGGCGAAATCGTACAATAACAGAACCTTCCAGTAGCATAGACTTTCCAGCTGGTGAAGAATTCATCAGAGTTCCTAAAATCCAAACTTTACGATTAGAAACTTCTTTTGTTGGAACTAAGCACGTGGAAGATACTGATAGTACCCCAAGTATTGGAGAAAATGATCTGAAGCTGCCAAAAGGTCTTGGAAATGAAATTCACCGGGAAAACACAAGCAGAGAAAGGCTAATAGGAGATGGTACTACACAAACACATTTCAAGAGTCGTAGCTTAAGTTTTAATACAGATACCACAACAAGTGGCATAAGCTCAATGAGCTCTAGCCCTTCAAGGGAGACTGTAGGTGTGGACGCTACAAATATAGATACTGACTGCGGAAGTTTGAGTACTGTGGTAAGCACAAAAACAGTTAAACCAAGTCACTGTTCAACACCACAGTCTAACCACCTGCCCCTCTCAAAGTCCAACTCTGTATCCCTGGTACCACCAGGTTCTTCTCATACACTTCCCCGAAGAGCCCAGTCTCTTAAAGCTCCCTCTCTTGCTACGATAAAAAGTCTTGCTGACTATAACTTTAGCTACACAAGTTCTCGAGATGCCTTTGGCTATGCCACACTAAAACGCTTACAACAGCAGAGAATGCATCCTTCACTGTCTCACTCAGAAGCCCTAGCATCTCCAGCAAAGGATGTGCTGTTTACTGACACTATTACCATGAAGTCTGGCAGCCTGGATTCTCGGCTGACCCCTAGCCGGTAAGAGATTATGTGCTCATTTCTTACTTCAAAGCAGTAAGAGCAGTTAAATAAGTATCTTTCTAATACTTTTTTATAACTTTAACTAAAAGTGACAGTTGTTGCAGGATGATTTATAAATTCACTGAAAGGAATATCGCTATTAGGAGATCAATATAAAAGGAGTTCTCAACTTCATAAGTGCTGTCAGAGAAGCCTGCCTTTCATAGCTTTGCTGAGCCCGTTTAATGCTGTTAGTGACAAAGGAAATTGTTTCCTTTTATCACATTTGCTTTCTGATTAACTTTTTAAATATTTAAATGCAATTACCCCGCTAACATTACTAAAGTTGCAATCACAGAAAATTGCCCATGTAGTCAGAGCCATATTTCAGAAGAGAATTTTCTTGATGTCACTTGGTGAGGTTTTAGGACAGGGACTTCTGCCAATATGCTATATTTGTGCTCACTGTGTCATTGAGGCCAGTGATGAGATACTGGTACCACTGATAGGAATGTCAGTTTGGCTTCTTCACTATAACAGAGCAAAGATTTTACTCATAGCGTTTATTTTTAGATGGCAGTGTCACCTCTATTTTTGAGTAATATTAAATGTTCTGAAGACTAATTGGATAGTTACATAACATATCTAGCTCATGACATTGACACTGTTCCCAGCAGCTACAGTCAGTGCTTAACAACTTTATCTTAAAAATTCTTCTACCAAATTTTTCCTTTCAAATCGTCTTTTAGTTAGTGCATTGGATTTTCACATTGCTGTTGAAAGGGGAAAGGCACTTTCTACCTCTGTTCTTACCTAAATATCTTTTCTCAGATGAGAGAAAAGGGAGAAACTAGCAGCACATTAGTCATCTCCTTACTGCACAGAACAGCAAATGCCCAGTCCCTGAACTGCACTCCACATACTCAGCTGAGTGTATATAGTGCCTGTTTATTACTATGCGTTTTTGTCCTGTTTAAGAGTAACATTCATTTGTTGTTTTTCACATGCTTCTGCAAAGATGCCATAAAGACAAGTTTTGTTCCCTTTGTGCAATTAAGTTAGAACTAGACTGAATGTGCTGAATAAATTAAAGATGATTCAGTAGTTAAGCTGCACTATCCTGGAAATCACAAGTGCTGTTCTTTGCTCAGTCACTGACTTCCTGTGCTAATGCAGGAACAAATCAGTGTCATTTCAGTGGCAGTACAGGTTCTGTTGTGGCTGTAGTAATGCAGTCATGCCATTGATGTGCAAAGCAGCCTTGCTGCAGTGAACTTCAGTCCTGAGATTCTGCATGAATGTAATACTAACAGTATTTGTGGTGCTTAACTGTTCATGATCTCTCATATCAGTGGTTAGGCTCAAGGATTTGAGATGACCTGTTTAACACTGAACTGAAATGGCTGGAGTGCTTTTTTTAACCTGAGAAGGTTAAAAAAATCACAATGTACATATTACAAGACATTGTGAGATTGAGTTGCCTACTAATATAATTGATTGGGAAGACTGTTATGTCGCTAGTATATGTGTTTTTCTTATTAGTTACAGCAGAGTGTCAGCACTGTCCTTAACTGCTCTTTTAAGTAATAAATTGGAAAGAAATATTCTGTCCTTTAATGTGCCGAGGATATATTTCTGTCAGTCTTCAGAAAAATCTTTGATTCATGCTTCATTGACAAATTAATGGGCTCATAGCAACTAACAGTATAAATTGAATTTTGTGATGTTTTTAGTCATTCTTTTTGTTTAAAAGGTTGAAAAGCTTATTTCTTTGCATAAATTATTTTGTGTGGGTCAGTTTTGCACCTCAGCCTTTAAAGACTAACCGAAAACGTTTAATGTGTGTGTCTCAAATCCTGATCATGGCTGTCACCCTATCACCTGGAGACATGCTTTCATGAAAACTTACTGGAGTTTATCACTGCTAATGATGTATCTGTTAGCTTTTCCAGGAGAAGCAGGGATGAATATTTGGGATTAATACTTCTATTGTTGATTTTATATTGAGAGTAATTGTAGAATGCTTTACTATGGAAATAATGCAGTTGGTAACTTACTAGGTTTTAGAATCATAGAATCATTTAAGTTGGAAAAGACCTTTAAGATCAAGTCCATCCTTAACCTAGCACTGCCAAGTCCACCACTAAACCATGTCCTGAAGTGCCATGTCTATGTGTGTCTTAAATGCCTCCAGGGATGGTGACTCAACCACTTCCCTGAGCAGCCTGTTCCAACGCTTGACAACTCTGTCAGTGAAGAAATTTTTCCTAATATCCAATCTAACCTCCCCTGGCACCCCTTGAGGCCATTTCCTCTCATCCTTTTGAAGTATGGCTTGACTTTTATTTTAAGTCCACTGCTACTGTCATTAGCATTGGTCAGAATTAGTAGCAAGAAAACTATTGATACCCTGTAATTTGTGTTCTGCACATTCCTGTTGCATAATAATGTCTTGAACATTACATGGTCAAACCTTGATAATTTACTTTTATCTCAGCCTAAATCTATTAACATATTAGGGATAAAAAGACATTTTAATTGTCCATCTAAGACAAAAAATGATAGAAAATTATTTCTAAGGCAGAAAGTCAAGAAATAAATGTTTACAGTACTTTACCTCCCAATGTATAATAATTTGCAGTAACATAATAAAAATTTACTGTTCCTCAGGTGTGTCTTTTTTCCTAGGAAGGTTTAATCCACTGCATATAGACCATCCACATAGGGTGATTAGCAGAAAACATACATAGGTTTTTATCTTCAGCGAGAAATAAAATGAGAGATGGCCAGGTGTGAAATTTCCATCATTAGGACTCTGATCAGCGCTGACTTGGTGTCCAGCTTGCTCTTTCCTGTGTCATTTTCCCAACCTATTTCTTTCTTTGTTCCTTGGGCTTCTTGTCACAGTGAGCTCTGCTCACTGCGTTCAGTTTTGTTCTTTGTGTGTTCATGTTGAGCAAATTCTTCCTCCATTCTTGTGTGACCTAATGGGTGGTTCTTTTAGAGTACAGGAAAAAAAGTGCTGCTTGCTTGCATCACTGGTGCCTTCACAGGCTCAAGCTTTGCAGGGATGTGCCTGCTCAATTCAAGAGTTTGTGAATGTCCAGGGAAGGTACATTGCACATATAGGTACATTTAAAAATGAGGCAGTTGGCAGTTTAAAAGCCTGAATCTTTACTGACCATGTCTAGGCTGTAAATCTTTGAAGCCTGGTAAGTTGGAGAAAATTTGTAGCTTTGCAGGGTTGGCAGCCCCTCAAGCAGAAGTTCCATCATGCTATCTTTCAAATAAAAAAATTTTACCCAAGTAACTGCCAGACAATGCAGTGTGAGTGTTAAAGAAAAATTCTACCAGACGTG